GAGACAAAGTCTCGCTCTTGTCCCCCAGGCTAGAGTGCGATGGGCGCAGATCTCGGCTCACTGCAACCTCTTGCCTCCTGGGTTCAGCGATTCTCCTGCCTGACCCCCGGTAGCTGGGATTACAGGTGCCTGCCACCATGCCTGGCTAATTTTTGTATTTTTAGTTGAGACGGGTTTCACCATGTTGGCCAGGGCTGGTCTCGAGACTCCTGACCTCGGGTGATCCACCTGCCTCGGGGCTCCCAAAGAAGTGCTGGGATTATAGCATGAGGGCACACCACGGGCTGGCCAACTTTGTTCTAAAATGTGTTTCGTGCTGCCTCTGTCCATTTCATAGACTAGAAAACACTGAAATAACTGAGCTTTCTATTAGACTCGGGATATGGGAATGCCCTTTTCAAAAAAAAAAAAAAAAAAAGGAGAAGTTCACCAAAAAGGGAAGAATTTTGAATATTCGTGAATTTATGGGTTAAACCCTAACAATCAGGGAACTTCAGCTATCCATTTGCTATTCTGGATAGCTTTCTAAAAGTTCCAGACAGTGAAGGTCTTAGCTGTTTAGGCACTCCTCCAAATATTTTTAATTTTTATTTTATTTATTTATTTAAGACGAAGTCTCATTCTATCATCCAGGCTGGAGTGCAATGGCTCGATCTCAGCTCACTGCAACCTCCGCCTCGTGGGTTTATGTGATTCTCCTGCCTCAGCCTCCTGAGTAGCTGGGATTACAGATGCGTACCACCACGCCCTGCTAATTTTTTGTATTTTCAGTAGCGACAGGGTTTCACCATGTTGGCCAGGCTGGTCTCAAACTCCTGACCTAAGTGATCCACCCACTTCGGCCTCCCAAAGTGCTGGAATTACAGGCGTGAGCCACTGCGCCCGGCTGATAATTTTTATATTCTAATGTATTTCAGATAGGGGGTAAGACAAGCTGCTTTACGTACAAATAAACAATTTCCTCCTTGTTAGTATAACGTGACATTTAATTAAAATACATCACTTTTCTTTTTAATTACCTGTAGCCTTTGAATACGGACAACCTACGTCATTCTGGATAAGAAGGTAAGGATAGGAATGATACAAAAATTCTCTCATCTTCCATAAATTAGTAGAGGGTTTTCCTTTGAATATTTATGAGAATTCTAGAATCCATGTATCTGGGCTATGTAAAGGATTCATAAAGAACATGAAATGCATAGTCACTGTCGAAGTCCTCTGGACATTGATAAAAGGAAAGGAATAATGCGCATGATATGCTGCTTTTAGGAGATGAAACAAATATATATACAGGCTCCAGATTCTATGAAGGTTAAATCAGAGCAGTATCTCCCAAACTGCACTCCAGAAAACACTAGACCACAATGCACTGTTAGAAAAGAATTTCATTTTCAAATACATTTGAGAACATTCCTGTGTTAGTCTGACTTGGGTTGCTATAACAAAATACCATACCAGGCCAGGTGCAGTGGCTCACGCCTGTAATCCCAGAAATTTGGGAGGCCAAGGTGGGAGGATCACTTGAGGTTGGGAGTTCAAGACTATCCTGGCCAACATGGTAAAACCCTGTCTCTACTAAAAATACAAAAATTAGCAGGGTATGGTGGCACCTGCCTGTAATCCCAGCTACTTGGGAGGCTGAGGCAGGAGAATCACTGGAACCCAGGAAGCGGAGGTTGCCGTGAGCTGAGATCGTGTCACTGCACTCCAGCCTGGGCGACAGAGCGAGACTGTTTCAGAAAAAAAAAGAGAGAAAGAAAGAAAAACATACCAGGTAACTTACACAACAGATATTTATTTCTCATAGTTCTAGAGACTGGAAAGTCCTATGATCTAGGTGCTGGCAGATTCAGTTCTTGGTGAGGGCCTTCTTCCTGGCTTATAGACGGATGCCTTTTCGCTGGCATGTCCAGATGGGGGAGAGAGAGAGAGCGAGAGCGCGCGAGATGCAGTCTCTACCTCTTCTGATAAGGGCACTAATCCCATCATGAGAGCTTCATCCTAATTTCTGTAACCCTAATTACCTCCCAAAGGCTGCCTCTCCTAATACCATCACACTGGGGGTTGGGGCTTCAATATGTGAATTTGAGCCAAGCATGGTGGCTTGAGCCTGTTATCCCAGGAGGCTAAGGCAGGAGGATTGCTTGAGGCCAGGAGTTTGAGGTTGCAGTGAGTTATGATGGTGCCAGTGCACTCCAGCCTGGACAATAGAGTGAGACCCCATCTCTTTAAAAAAAAAAAAAATTGAATTTGGCAGAGACACAAACATTAATTCTGTAACAACTCCCATACCATATGCCCTCTTTCAGAGATTCACGAATTAACATAATAAAAGCCCTGAGAAGTTTTGTTTTCTTTGTTTAATCCAGTATTTTGCAAACTTATTTGACTATGGAACTTCTTTTCAAGTCACACCTAACAGTATGCCCTAAGATTGGTATTCAAAAAAGTCTGAGATTGAAGTAAGGAACTATAGGTTAACTACAGAGTTTCTAAACAAAAACCCAGAGATGCAGATTACAGAGGCACTGCCTTCAATTCCTTAGTATATTATAGAGCTCAGTTCTTTTCTTTTCTTTTTTTTTTGAGACGGAGCCTCACTCTGTCACCAGGCTAGAGCACAATGGCAAGATCTCAGCTCACAGTAACCTTTGCCTCCCAGGTTCAAGTGACTCTTCTACCTCAACCTCCCAAGTAGCTGGGATTACAGGCACCTGCTGTTGGTCAGGTTGGTCTTGAACTCCTGACCTCAGGTGATCCGCCCACCTCGGCATCCCAAACTGCTGGGATAACAGGCGTGAGCCACCATGCCCGTCCAGAGCTCAGTTCATTTTAATTCATAAACACCCATACTCTTTTTTCTCCACACACCATCAAAATCCACTTTACTGTATCTTTTTTTCTAGTTGTTAAGACTGATGTGATGAGCTAAGTCTCCCCTCCTTCTTCCACCTGGAGGATAAGGTAATTACTGAACACAGCTACACTATGTGTCCTCTTTATGCTCACGTGCAGAGCCAATAACCACAAAGGAATTCACTGTGTAAAGATGAAGCTCTGTATCATCACAGCTCACTCTAAAGATTTAGAGACCTGCAGTATGAGTGGCTTGTTCAATTTAACAACCATTTATTTCTTACCTCCTAAGTGCAGGAAAAGAGGGATGAGAGGGAGGGAACTTGACAGAGAGATACCAGGATAAAAAAGGTAAGGGCCTACTCTCCAGATGTTCTAAAACCATAATAAATAAAAAATCATTCATGAAATGTCTCAGACCAGTAAATGCTATAACAGACGCACAGGCACACACAAACTACATCCCAAAGGCACTTAGGGGAGAGAGAGAGACAAAGAATTGGGGTTTTGAATGGGTATGCATTGGATAGGCTGATCAGGTTAAAAAATAAAAGCGTTGATGACAGACACACAGATGCACTTAATAGAAAGGCACCGAGGAGGAGCACAGGGTTCGTTCAAGGAGTGGAAAGAAGTCTGACATTACTGCAAGAGCATACACGGCAGGGGAAAGGGTGAAAGCATGGAAGATAATGGCTGAAGAGGCAGACTGGTCATTTAATGCCTGGCTGAGACATCTGGACCTCACTCGTTAGGAAGGAGAAACCACAGCAGGTTTTGAATAGAAAGGAGACACGGTCAGATCTGTGCTTTAGAAAAATAACCCTGGGGCCCAGGCATGGTGGCTCACGTCTGTAATCCTAGCACTTTGGGAGGCAGAGGCAGGCAGATTACTTGGCCCACATCTGTAATCCTAGCACTTGGGAGGCAAAGGTTGGTAGATTACTTGAGGTCAGGAGTTCAAGACCAGCTTGGCCAGCATGGTGAAATCCTGTCTCTACAAAAATACAAAAATTAGCCAGGCATGGTGGCACGTGCCTGTAATCCCAGCTGCTTGGGAGGCTGAGGCAGGAGAATCACTTGAACCTGGGAGGTGGAGGTTGCAGGGAGCCAAGATTACACCATTGCACTGCAGCCTAGGTGACAAGAGTGAAACTCTGTCTCAAAAAAAAAAAAAAAAAAAGAGAGAGAAACGGAAAAAAAAAAGAAAAAGAACCCTGGAGAGAGATTGAAGGCATAAATAACAGCAATACTAGTCACCATTTATTGAGTAGCCATCTCTATTTTACAAATGTGGAAACAGACTCAGACAGGTGAAGAGACTTAACCTAGGTCACACAGCAATAAGGTATCAGAGCCAAGATTTCAACTCGGGTCTGAGTGATTCCACAGCATAAAGACCAGTCGGGCTACTGCCAAGGTCCAGAGGAGATGAAGGCCTGCAGACAATGGCAGCAAACCCTGAGGAAGCAGAATGACTAAATGGCTCCCTCTTTACTCATGGGTATCTGGTGTCCTCAAAGACAAAGCACAGTCCAGAAGGTAGAAGATCAGGGAGGAGGAAAAAAGAGACATTTGGTCAATCTCCTTGAGTGTCCTCTTCCTGCCAGAAACCTTCATGATCACTCACTACTGAGTGCCGAGTGGGAAGGCTTGGGTGGGAAGGTTTCCAGTGTGTCTTCATCTTCAGTGTACTCCTTGCCAGGTTCCTTTTCTTTGCCTTTCCCTTTCTATATCTGGGTTCCATGTGCAGCCAGTCAATGCCTATGTCGTGAATTTATAATGATATTCTGTATTATCTGCATAAATCTGGAAAATGCCTGTGTGATTGTATCACAGATCCCGCCTAAATAGTAAAGCCCAATGAGAAGGGCTGGATGCTGTTATGATATTAGTGGAACACAGATGCAGATGAACACATTAGGCCTGCGCCTGCCATTCTGAGTTACATTCCTTTGTGTGATTCTTGCAATTTTGGATATATACCTTGTTTATGCATCAAAAGTATTGTTTGCTATTGATGAGGCAAGAGGGACTATGCTATAATTTTGACACTGTCTAGGATTTATTTTAGAGTAAGAATGACTTCCTACAAATACCATTACCTTTTCTTTGAAAGTTCAATATCCACAAGATGTAAGACATAAAGATGGGATTTCTCCATCAAATATTCCAGTTCTACTGACTTCTTTTTCACAATCTGCATACATATGTATGTTTCACACGTCTTAAACTTAAAAACCAGCCTTGGCTGGGCATGGTAGCTCATGCCTATAATCCCACCACTTTGGGAGGCTGAGGCTGGAAGATCACTTGGGGCCAGGAGTTCTAGATCAGCCTGGTCACACAGCAAGACCCCATGTCTACAAAAAAATTACAAAATTAGCCAGGCGTTGTGGCATGCATCTGTGGTTCCAGCTACTTGGGAGACTAAGGTGGGAGGATTCCTTGAGCCCCAGAGTTTGAGGCTACAGTGAGCTATGATCACACCACTGTAGTCCAACCCTGGTGACACAGCAAGACCCTGTCCTACCCCCACCCCAAAAAAACACCCTCTGTGCCCTTTGTCTCTTCGGACTGTCAATCCCCCCCTCCCAGCCAGGTTCTGAGGAGGTTTCTCTAGGCTTGCCCTGCCCCTTTCCTTGCCATGACTCTGCAGCATGCCATGGTGGGCCTCTTTCTCAGCTCTCTGGCTCTGCCATCTGGATGTCCCATATGTATCTCAAGATTAATTATCTTCCCCATAAACTTGCTTTAGCTTTTGTATTCCCTAATTCAGTGAGTGGTACCACCATCTATCCACCTGGGTGTCTAAAACGGAGTCATCCTAGATCCCATGCTTTGTTATCTCCCAAATCTAATCAACATCCAATTCCTTCACTTCTCTCTCCCTGCCCTTCCTCTCCTGAAGCTAACTCTGTGTTTCAGCCACCATGGGCTCTGGTCTGGGTGAACTTCCTACCACCATCCTCAAACCCTTCCGCCACACTGCACACTGCAGCCATACTGATCTCCCTAAAACCAAATATAATTATGCCACTCCTGGATGGGCACGGTGGCTCACATCTGCAACCCCAACACTTTGGGAAGCTGAGGTAGGTGGATCACCTGAGGTCAGGAGTTCGAGACCAGCCTGGCCAATATGGTGAAAGCCTGTCGCTACTAAAAGTACAAAATTGGCTGGGCGTGGTGGCACATGCTGGTAATCCCAGCTACTTGGGAGGCTGAGGCAGGAGGATCGTTTGAACCCGGGCGGTGGAGGTTGCAGTAAGCCGAAATTGTGCCACTGCACCCCAGCCTGGGCAATAAGAGCGAAACTGTCTCAATAGTAATAATAATAATAATAATAATGCCACTTCTGTGTTTGAAACTCTTCAGTGGCACCCTTTAGCTTCTGAAGAAAGTTCAGACACCCAAACTGGCCTCTGCCTCATGCTGTGTCTTGGTTCTCACGCAGTCTCCCTGCTGGGACCCTATGCTTCAGCCACGCTGACTACCTGTGCTTCTCCGTGTTCAGCTGCTTATTCACACCTTCATATCCTTGCTCAAATTGGACCTTTCAAGCTTCTCCTATCCCTGCCTTTCCCCAGCTTTCCCCACTCTCCCTGCTATCACTGCCCATCCCTTCCTGTGTGCTCTGCTGGGACGTTATAGAACTCTAACACAGTGCCAAGCACACTGGCCCTAGCATCTCCTTGTCTTCTTTTAGGACAGAGACTGCATCTTATGTTTCCTTTTTTTTTCTTTTCTTTTCTTTTTCTGAGACAGAGTTTTGCTCTTGTCTCCCAGGTTGGAGTACAATGGCATGGTGTCAGTTCACTGCACCCTCTGCCTCCTAGGTTCAAGTGATTCTCCTGCTTCAGCCTTCCCAGTAGCTGGGATTAGAGGCATGCGCCACCATGTCCGGCTAATTTTTGTATTTTTAGTAGAGATGGGGTTTCACCATGTTGGCCAGGCTGGTCTTGAACTCCTGACCTCAGTGATCCACCCACCTCAGCCTCCCAAAGTGCTGTGAGTAATCACGGTGGCTGAGCCACCGTGCCCGGCTTCATCTTATGTTTCTATTTCTAGCTGCTAGCACAGTGTCTAAGAGAGAGTTGATGCTCAAATAAATATTTGAGGAAGGAATATTAATTAATTTCCATTAGCTTCTTTATTGTTGGTAACTTCAAATTTTTATCTTTGGGTGAGGATAATGTCCCACTTATGTTTTATTTCAGCATATTTTGACTTTTTTCTCCCATTATGGTTTCCAGCCAGTAAAGGTCTGATGTTTCTATTCTAAGTGGGGTGAAAGAGGAAGCAGGAAGCAAGAAGGGAACACTTGGTTAAGATGAACCAGGTCAAGAGAAGAGGGTGATTTGGCACCAATGTTACTGCAGTTTGGGGGAAAGAATGATTCTCTTTAAGACTATGTAACCCGGACAACACGGCGAAACCCCATCTCTGCAAAAAATACAAAAATCAGCCGAGGCCGGGCATGGTGGCTCATGCCTGTAATCCCAGCATTTTGGGAGGCTGAGGCGGGCAGATCACGAGGACAGGAGTTTGAGACCAGCCTGGCCCACATGGTGAAACTCCGTCTCTACTAAAAATACAAAAAATTAGTCAGGCATGGTTGCGTGCGCCTGTAATCCCAGCCACTGGGAAGGCTGAGGCAGGAGAATCGCTTGAACCCAGGAGGCAGAGGTTGCAGTGAGCCAATATCATGCCATTGCATTTCAGCCTGGGCGACAGGGCGAGACTCTGTCTCAAAAAAAAAAAAAAAAAAGGAAGAAAGAAAAAAACGAAAAAAATTAGCTGTGATGGTGCATACCTGTAGTCCCAGCTACTCAGGAGGCTGAGGTGGGAGGATCACCTGAGCCTGGGAGATCAGGCGATCGAGGTTGCAGTGAGCCAAGATCATGCCATTGTGCTCCAGCATGGGCAACAGAATGAGACCCTGTCTCAAAAAAAAAAAAAAAAAAAGACTATGGAGTCAGCTGCAATTGTATTTATTTATTATGATTATTTTTTGAGATGGTGTCTTGCTCTGTCACCCAGGCCGGAGTACAGTGGCACAATCTTGCCTCACTGCAGCCTCTGCCATCCAGGTTCAAGTGACTCTCCTGACTTGGCCTCCCAAAGTGCTGGGATTGCAGACATGTGCCACCATGCCCAGCCTGCAATTGTATTTATATTCAAATCTAATCTCAAGTTATAAAAAGTTTATTACTGCGGAGTGGTTAAGAGTAGCAGAATAATCTTTATTCTTGGAATTTTTTTTGCAGAAAAATGTACATGTGAAAAATATTCTTACTTTTAATATAGTCAAATTTATCAGTCTTTCCTTTTCAGTTAAATACTGTTTAGGTATTATTTAAGAAGTCTTTTCCAACTTCAAGGTCTGAAAGATTTACCTATATGTTCTTTCTTTTCTTTTCTTTTCTTTTTTCTTTCTTTTTTTTGGGGGGGGGGGACGGAGTTTCGCTCTTGTTGCCCAGGCTGGAGTGCAATGGCGCAATTATGTCTCACTGCAACCTCTGCCTCCCAGGTTCAAGTGATTCTCCTGCCTTAGCCTCCCAAAGTGCTGGGATTACAGGCATGAGCCACAACACCTGGCCCTCCCACTGGTTTTATATGCCACCTCTGGCATATGCCAAAGTTCCACACCATTCCATTCTATTCCATTGGTCAGTTTGTCTCTTCCCAGGCCAGTACTGCATTGCTTTAATGATTATATTTCATAATGGGTTTTGTTATCAAAAGGTTAAGTTGCTCCTTACTGATCTTTTTCCAGACAGGAACATCTTGTCTCCTGTTTACAGTAACAAAAACCCCAAAACAATCCAA